TTCCCAGTTCATTTCCCTTCCTGTCCCAGACAGGGACAAAAAGACATGCAGACATAAAAACTTTTCCATAACAACTTTGAAAACACTGGGGCATGGAGGGGGGGGAGCGTTTACTTATGGTCCTTTGTTTATTTTTTTGTTCTCTCTTGCATTGATGCTGTCTAGCACGATAAAAGTATACAGTATACAAAATAATACATATATACAGACATACATATTTATACACATACACACACACAATCCAACAGGAGAATTTCTCCTGTTCATGCCCCAATACAAGTTCCAGAAGACCTTCAAGAAAAACCAAAATTGTCAAATCCAAAAGCAATAAAAGCATATTTCTGATTACTTTGATTGTAAACTGCCATAAAATTTTGTTAAGAAAAAGAATGAAATTGTTAAAGTAGAGATTGGATATTTATAGGTACAACAAAAATATCTGGAACTAGAACAGTTCAGGGTGAAAAATAGATGCAACTGTACCAGAATGGAGATGTAAAAGCATAATTTTTTTTCTTCCTACCAGGGAGAGACAACATATTAAGATTAATTATCTAGTATTTAATCTATTGGTAGGTTTCAGCCTACCTTGCTCTAAATAACCAAGTCTCAGCAGTTGTTGGAAAGATAGTACTGGACTAGATAAAAGCATTGCTTTGATTACTGCAACAAATCTTATGTTCCCACAAGAAGATGACATTCTATTTCACTGATCCCTCCCATCTCCCAGGGCTCTCTGTCACTCTCCAAGATTACATATTTGATCTATGAAACCTCCTTCTCCTTGAGTAGTGTGTGGTTTTTATGGTTATACTGTTGACGTTACCTCAGAGATCATACCTGGTAGTTCAGACAGCCCAAAAGTTGAATTTCTTCTTTCACACATGAGAAACAAATACTACCTTTCTACCTTCCCCAGAGGTGTTCATTCTCAGCAATGAGTTGTATACTTTAATTTGACTCCCACGTAAACTAGAGCAATACAATTGCAGCACCAAACCAGAAACAGATGCAGATACACAGAGGCTTCTCCTCTTCTAAGAAGGAATACCATTACTATTACTATCTTAACAAAATGAGCTATTAATGATCTGGACAAAGGGATCGAGTGCACTCTCAGTAAGTTTGCAGATGACACCAAATTGGGCAGGAGTGTTGATTTGCTCGAGTGTAGGAAGGCTCTGCAGAGGGACCTGGACAGGCTGGATCGATGGGCCGAGGCCAACTGTATGAGATTCAACAAGGCCAAGTGCCGGGTCCTGCACTTCAGCCAC